AATGACATGGAGTAAGTTGATGTGATAGTTTGAATTAAGGAAGTGAATAATAAGACTTGGTATGTTTTAACCTAGAGCTACTACATAGACGAAGTACTCAAAAGATTTAATCATTTTCAATCCAAGCTAGCTCTGACTAATTTCTCATAATAAACTCATAAAGAATCGTGATGGTTCTACTTCCCAATTGGGCTAAGTAAGAGCCATTGGATGTATAATATATGTAATTTTTGTGAAAGAAAAGTATAAATTGTCTACCAAACATGGATGTACAATATATGCCATTGGATGTACAATAAGATGCAGACTTATATCTCCATATGTATAAAGGAATAGGAGATAGTTGCTTTAGAAATTGCTAGTAAAGAAGATGAGTGGCTAAGAACTTGATTGTGCAAATACCACTTATTCAAAGCCCATGTATGCAGTCGTAATATGGTGTGGTTGTGGAGCCATTATATACCAAGCAAAAAATAAGATTTATTCTGAAAAGCTAGAGATATTCCCATGGGAGATAGTCCGTTGATATTTTTGCTTATAAGATCATCCAACCAGAACTTTGATACAACCATTAATAAAAGCCCTTTCAAGGGATCAAGTTTGGAAGATAGAGGGATGGGATTAACACCCATATGACATATGCGACAAGATGATGTAAATCCTACCTAAGGACAAGGAGAGCACTAGTCCAAAATTTAAAGGCAAAAAGAAGAGCAAAAAGAAGTCACTTGTGTGAAGTCTGATGCATGTATGTATGTACCATAATATCACTTAATGGAAACTAAATAAATTTTTTACCCCACCCCTAGCTGTACGGTATAATTTACAAAATTGAATAGAGAAGTTGAGCTTTGCTCTTAATGATTTCATTTTCCTAGATAATGTAAAGCTTAGGCTAGGATATCGCACTACAAGGCATCCTCCATAGAGTCACCTATATTAGTATGAAAGTGGGAGGGTGCTTCCTACAAGAATTGGGCATTCTCTAGAGCACTCATGAAAATAATGAATAACACAAAGCCTTAAATTCTCAAGCTTTTTAGAAAACCACAACTTTTTCAAAAAAAATTTGTGGTACGTGAAAGACATCGATAATGGATATAGTTCAAGGTTTATCCAATCATTGTCCTTGTAACTATTTTACATAACACTACGTTGAGGTTCAAATCTATAGGACATGTCTATTCATGCATGGTCTTTCCATAAATGTTTGAAGAGTCTAATTGTTTTAAAATATTTTGGGGGATTGTTTGCTTTCTTATTTATCATTATTTTAAAGCACTTTTGTTTGTGAAATCATTGCTAGTCTACTAATATATTCTAGACCCTTTGGAAGATTTTCACTTAAACTTTTAATTTTTGACTAGGGGCTTTTCTTTTTCTTTCTGAGATGGGACGCGACATGTACTAGCATGAATACATATCATATCATCGTATGTGTATATTTTATAGGGTGTGGTTTCTATATTGCAACTTTAAACAATCCGATTGAGGTGCACCTCTAAATTTTATCATAACATGTAATTTTATTATAAAAAGTTCTTAAAATTATCTAAAAATCTATTTTCATATCTAAGTATGAAATTTTAAACTCCAAAAATAGTTAAAATCAAGTACATCTATAAATATATGAAAATCTTGAAAATAGACTGCTTAGATAATGTATTGCAAGATGCATTATTTCCAAGACTCAAATTTTTTTTTTTCTTCATATCATACATCTTGATGTTGATATGATTAATTAGAGAGTTTTTCAGCATTAAAAAAAAAAATTTCAATAGATTTTTTTAGTGCATCTATAATTCTACATTTTAAGTGCATGTATAATTCTACATTTTAGTGCATCTATAATTCTACTTTTTTCTAATTTATATCACGCTCATTTATGTTATCTGGCCACTTGAATGATGATGTTTACCTATCATGCACATCCTCTAAAGTTAATCTCTATGTGGAAACGAAAAGGAAGCCACATGCAGATCCAACTTTTATTTTCCACTCAATGTTTATCGAAATTATTACCGATTAGAAGGCATGTATGTAAGGTAAAAGTTTATATGAGGATGCAACCTTATAATGTAGAACTACGGATGCACCTCAAAAATATATAGGAAAAGGTAGTTTTAATGTTGAAAAACCCTTTGATTGATCATCTCGACATCGAGATAAATGACCATGAAAAATAAAAAAAATTTAGGTCTCAGAAATATTGCATTTTATAACATATTATCTACACCGTCCATTTTCAAGATTTTCATATGTTTATAGATGTACTTGATTTTAACCATATTTGAAATTTAAAATTTTATAATTAGCTATAAAATAGATTTTGAGATAATCCTAATAACATTTTACATCAAAATTATATACCATGATAAAATTTAAAGGTGCACCTTACCTCTACAGCTACGGATGCATCCGTATGTCAGCTGCACCTTATCCGTAATAGTTTTGTTTGAATCTTTTGAGTGTGCAACACAGAGGCTCACGAGTGACAAATCTGATATAGATGTAATCCTAGAAGTGAGCTCGTGGGTGCCAAATTGCATCTCATAATTTGTTTGAGTTAGGGGTGTTTACCATTTTGAAGAAACCAAGTCTCCCTGTGCGTCGATATCCCCATATTTGGGTTCCGTCAACTTTAGTGGTGATTTAATTGAGGTCCATTGACCTCTTTATCAAACTTAAAGAGTGTTTTCTATGTATAATTGAGATTGTAGTGAACTTTTTCACCACGAAGAATGTTTTGAATGCAGTGGACCTGTTTTAACCGCAGTTACTACCTTCACCTCTAGTCTTGTTTTGACTGCGGTACACAGTTTTCACCGCGGTTCAAGATTTTCACCACACTTTCTGACCGTGGTAGTCCATTGTTCATTGAAATGAATTAGTTCACCACAATTGAAAACAAGTAAGGAACTAAACATGATCAACACTGCCAACTCATGACATTGTTCTCAACTCACTCTTAACATCTCGTCTAAGATAGAATAACCTAAACACAAATTATTTATTAATTATATGTGGGTGGAGAGTGCACCGGCACCTTAAGCTTGAAGAATTCTCCATGGCATAGAGCAATGTGTTTTACAATTCATACAGCCGCCACCTGCCTGAAGATCCAATGGCTTGGTGTAATTTAGATTAGGTTGGCTTGTCTTATGCTTAAACCATATAACCAAAGAAAAATACCCAAGTAATCTAGGCCATCGACGTTACCTCCATCGTAGCAATTATCAGATTTGGACGATCTAGATAAGGCCATGTCAGGAAAGCAAGGGAAAGGCAATATCTAAGGTAGGTAGGTTTGATCACCTTGTCCTATTAATAAAATTGCTCTAACGAGAAACGTTCATCAATATTTAATTGATTAATTTACTTTTGTCAAAGTGTTTTTATGGGCGAATAAATCTAGAAAGGAGTACCAGACGTAGTATTATCCCTTATTATGTCCCGTAGTAACGCTAATTAATTATGAATTGAAAACGCCCTCGAAGTCATCGGTTTCTCTCCTCTCTCCTACCATCCACTACTCTCATAAATCTCTCTCTCTGTCTCACTCTCACTGTAATTCGGGAACTGCCCTGCCAATTTGCTAATGTTGAGAATATTGTTTATTTAACGGTAGTTCCCAAGACTGAACGGAATTAGCAGTTCAACCAGTTAAACCGATACCCATGGCCAATCTAGTCAAAGTTAAAAAAAATCATACCCGGTCGAAATCCGGTTAAAATCAATGCTTGATGAGTTACTATCAGTCAAACCTACAAATTTTAGCCAATTCTACCATCTAAATAAAATTAAGCAATTTTTTAGTATGTTTTATATTTACCAATAGATTTAATATATTTTATATTTTTAGACTATCATATCTATTTTTTTTCCTTTTTTTTAAGTTCGGTCTAAACAATTCAACTATTGGTTGTATCACTTTTGACTAAACCAATTCTCTTACTAGTTCGATAGTAGATCTAATTCCAACAATACCAGTTTTAACTTTAAATTTCATGGATGTAATTTTTCATCGAGGCAACCGACCTCAACAACTAGAAAGAAAATCAAATACAAATCTTCATGTACTAGAAAATAAGTTAGCTTGAAGATGATCAAGGACACCCCAAAAGTTCTCATAAAATCTACTTTTTTTCTTCTAAAAATACTTTTCGTCATTCTAAAATGGTTACCAAAATCTGGATTAAAAAAACAAAATCCAAAAAATGCAGCCCAAAATCTTTAGATATAAAGAGAAATATAATGATGCAATATTAAAATGTAGAATTATGGTGCACCTCAAAAATCCATTGGAAAATGTTGTTTTAATATTAGAAAACCCTCTAATTGATCATCTCAACATCACATGCATGAATATGTCAAAAAAGAAAGATTTCAATTCCTAAAAATATTGCTTCTTGCAATATGTTATCTAGACCGTCCATTTTCAAGATTTTCATGTGTTTATAGATCTACTTGATTTGAACTATTTTTGGAGTTTAAATTTTTATAATTAGAGATGAAAATAGATTTTCAAGCCATCCTAAAAACTTTTAACACCTAAATTACATTTTATGATAAATTTTGAAGGTGCACCTTACATTGATGGTTTAAAGTTGCGACATTATACAAAGCGCCCCATTATAAATTAAAAAAATTCACCAAATTAACTTTTTTTACTCTAGGGAGCAAGTGCACAAAGAGAGAGGTCTCTCTCACGAGTCAAGATCTCTCTCTTTTATTTACGGAGTGGAGACCAAGAAGAGGTCATTAAATAATTATAAAGTCACTTCAACGCCAAAAAAAACGTATGACTTTTGAGGGAGACTGAGAAGAAAGAGGGGCAATTCCCTATAAATACAGGGCAAGAGCCTCTTCTATTTTGCATAGTGAGCCACCATAGTAACTCAACTTCACTCATTTATACAAAAAGAGGCTTTTTATTTATATCACACACATATATATTTGTCAGAGAAAAAAATAAAAAGAGAAAACAAAAAGGAGACAGGATGTCGACTATAACTGTGCCTCATCCCCCACCGTCTGCAACCGATGACTCCGAGAAACTTAGGGAGGCTTTTGAAGGTATACCTTTCTACCTTTTTCTTTCTTTTCACTTTTTCGTGACATTCATCGAAATGCACTTAGTTTATTGTTTGTGTATTTTGATGATTAAATAAAAATTATAAATAAATGTTAAATAATTCATCTCTATATTGATAATTTCCCATTTTTTGATGGTAAAATATTTGGACTATTTTTAGACTTGTGTGTGGTCCTTTTGCAGGTGTCAAGCTAATCTGCTTTGTACCATTTTAATTTTATCGAATGTATTCGAAAACTCAACCATCTGTTTCTCTTGCTTCTTCTTTTTATTTTATTTACTCTACTTTTTCCCTCACTTATTTTCTTCTATTTTCTTAAACGACTTTGTTTTTTTTTTTTTGGCAGTGCCTAATTATTTTCTTTTTTTCTTTATCCTTCTAATTTTCTGTATTCGAACTATTGGCTTTTATATATATATATATATGCCTGTATGCATAATTTTTCTTTTAACATTGTATTTTTGATGGGAAAGGATGGGGCAGTGACAAAAAGACGATAATTTCGATCTTGGGGCATCGGAATGCATCCCAACGAAAGCTAATTCGGGAAGCATATGCAGAGATTTACAAGGAGGACCTTTGCAAACGACTCGAATACGAGCTCATCAGACACTTCGAGGTGCACACACTCCCCACCCTCAAATTATTTCTTTCACAACGCCCCCCGTTTCATTTCTCAGCTACGCAACCTATTGAGAGAGAGAGAGAGAGAGAGAGAGATTAGCATGTCAAGATTTGAGCTTGGGCAAGATTCATTAAGGTATAGATAATTGCGTCATTCAATTGTAAGTTTGAATCCTACCGTTAAACTACAAAACAAAGTGGTTTTATATATATATATATATATAAAGTATTAAGAATGTCTATAGGTGAATTGCTACAATGTTTCGTCTCCATTACGGGCATGTTATGTCTGTGACGGTTTTGCCTAAAAACCACTACAGACCTACGAGAGCCATGGCGGTCCCTTAATATTTTTCACGTCAATTTTGCATGAAAAAATCCCGTCACAGACGTGCTATATCTGTGATGGAGTGCCACGGACATGCTTTGTCTGTGACTGTCTTTAATCCACAGCATCCGAAAAAATCGGATGACGTCGGGCCTATGAACGAAAATATTGTTCATTATCCGCCTATAGGCGTTTTATAGTCTTTTCCATATGTACATGTGTCTGCGTGTGTACGCGTGCACATGTGTACATGTGCGTGCATGCACGCATGTATGAAGGAGTCTTAATATCACATGATTTACAACACTCTATGTATTATCCTATACCATCCAATATTGATCAGGCAATTGGGAGTGTCATTGAGTTTAGAATTTCTTTTAAAAAAAATATTAAATATATTTAAAAAAAATAAATGAGCATGATACCTTTTTAAGTTTACAGGGGTATTTTGATAATTTTGTTTGATGTGAAATATTTATTTTATATTTTTATTTGACGAATGATGGTGAGAATTACACATGCATCCCATGGTTTATAAAAAACAAAATTCATATACTATCAAGTGAACCCCACCATTCAAATCCTATGAGTGAAGTACTGTAGCACCTGACCAATACGTCGACCCTGATTTTGAAGGACTAGGGGCCCAAAACGGCGAAACACATCCCAAATCAGTATAACTTACTCTCTACTTCATTCTATGAATTTGGGGTAAAACTTGTGTAGATATATCGATCTTTGGTGATTCAAAATGAATATTCCAAACAAATAAAACTACAAAATGACATCAACACAAATTGAAAAGTCCAAAATGGACAAGACTCAATATTATTCTTTTTTTTTTTTTTTACTTTTTTAAATACATGATTGTGGTAGTTTAGATATATAACATTTTAAATCCAAAACCGTCGCTGGGGTGGATTTTAAGAGGTTGGACTAAATGTAACAAGTGCAACCCAGGAGGCACCCTACCCTTTAATTTTTATTTTTATTTTTTATTTATCAATCTGCAATTCAGAGAGCATGGAGGAATATTTGTTTCAGTTATTCATAAACTAATGTTTTTTATTTTGTTATTGATTAGTTAGTTTCTTGTGTAGAGAGCTATGCTGCTATGGGCATTAGATCCAGCGGAGCGGGACGCAGTGTTGGCGAATGGGGCGCTGCGCAAAGGGGAAACATGCGACCGAGTGGTGTTGGAGATTGCGTGCGCGCGGTCAGCCGAGGAGTTGTTGATGGTGAGACGGGCATACCATGAGCGCTTTAAGAGATCCCTTGAAGAGGACATCGCCTCACACACCACTGGAGATATTCGCAAAGTATTATTCATTTACTTACTTTTTAGTGATTTACATTCGGATCTTAAATTTGTTTTATGGAAATTACAAATATACTCCATCAACCCACTTTTTTTTTTTTTTTTCAAAATTGTTCCTTAGTTTGAGGACATCCTTTTTTTTAGTTTTTTTTTTCTAAGGCACTATTCTAAAGCTTGAGGCACTGCCCCACTTATGAAAAAACTAAAACAAAAAAAAAAAATTCAAATTCAGACCGAGGATTTCATCTTAAAGGAAATTCTGAAAAAAATAAAAATAAAGTAGGTTAACTGATTTTCTTTATAATTTCTATATATAAATAGAGAATTTTGTATTTTTTTTTAAAAAAATTAAGGTCCATACGTAAATCACCTTTTTTTTTTTTTCAAGGCCAAGTGTGAGAAAGAGAGCGCAATACTCTACTAAACAAAACTTTTGGGGCAGCTATTGGTGGCGATGGTGAGTTCCTATAGGTACGAGGGCCCGGAGGTGAATGCGAGCCTCGCGTCAAAGGAGGCGCAGGCACTCAACGATGCCATCCAATCCAATTGCTTCAACGACGAAGAAGTAATCAGGATACTAAGCAGCAGGAGCAAGCACCAACTCAATGCCACTCTAAACAAATACAAGGACTATTTTGGAACCCACATCATCAAGGTATAACTTCATCACCTTTTCAAAGTTCACCATTATACTAGAGAGATGAATTCAAGAGAATCAGTCTACCAATGTTTTATTTTGAGACTGAGAAATGATTTAATGAGAAAGATATCATTTTCACATGCTTATTTGAAAGGAAACTTATTCATGGGATTTAGGGTTGGCAATAGGCTGGGCGGACTGCTATGCCTGACCTTGAAAAACTAGGATCTCGCCACAAAATATTGCCAGGGCCTTTAAGCTCCGACCAGATGGCCGTATAGGAACATTGGCTGATCTTGTGCCAGTAGGAGTGAAGCATGTTGCCAAGCCTAGTGGAATTGTACACCATAAAACCTGTTATATCAATATGAGAAGGTCACAATCATCTATAGTCATTAGATGGGGTGTTCCTGAAGTTCAAAATTTTTTTTTTTAACTTTGACAGCCAAATAATTTCTATATCCAATAGCTAACGGTGGTTATGATCTCATTGTACTAAAAGTAAACATACTTATTGCTTACTTCTTATTTTTTTATAACTAATTGAGTGGGAAGAGGATTTTGATGCTGGGGTTTATGCTTGTTTGCCAGAACTTGAAAAGCAGCCCTGAGGACAAATTCATACCAGCAATCCGAATTATGATTCGCTGCATCTATTCCCCCCAGAAATACTTTGAAAAGGTAGTCACAGAGATTTCATCTGACAAAAAAATACAAAAACGTAGTATATACGGCTTGCACTTCAGGTCTACTAATAATTCAAAATCAACCTGATGATTGAGAAATCTACGACTTGCAATTCAGGTCATAAGGCATGCAATCGTTGGGCTTGGAACAGACGAAGAAATGCTCACACGAGCGATCATCACACGTGCTGAAGTGGACCTTCGTGAGATAAAAGAGGCATACCAAAAGAGGAACTCAAAGTCCCTAGAAAAAGCAGTAGCAGATGACACTTCAGGCGATTACAAGGACTTCCTCCTCACCCTCTTGGGTGCAGAGAACCTCTAGATCTCTCACAAAGACCATGGATACATATGCATACATACATATACAAATGCATGTGTGGCCCTTACCATTACAAAGGCTATAGAGATGTAGGGGTAGTGAGAATGTTTGAAGGTATGGGTGGATGTGTGTGGTTAGGATGATGGGTTATGCAATTTTGTCTTAGTGTGGTTTTTGGTTGCTTTGTGATTTTCATTTCTGTGGATTGGCTTGTGTGCCTATGAAGCTTTTACCTTGGCCTATGTGTATTAGCATTTCGTCTGAACTTTTTGGTTGAGTTTTTTTACTCCCCTCCTCTCCAATTAATAACAGGTTCAAATCACTAGCTTTTTCTTCATAGATGATGATCAGAAGAAAATGATGGTTTTGTTTATGATCAATGACCAGAAACTGAATTCCTTAGCTCTAACTTTTGTATCCGTGATGGCATCTGTCTCTCTCTTTTACCCCTTCAGTGCTCCAAATTTCTCTAAGGTCGTGTTTGATAACTTTTTTACTGTTTCACCAAGAATCCTTGAAAATACTTGGGATTCTAGAAACATTAGGAAAGATGGCGCAATCACTTTCCCTAAAATGATAATTTACTTAGAAGATTAGAGCAGTCAATTTCCCTTATTTGATAACAGGATTATATAATTGGTATAATAAGTTTCATATGGGGAACTGCCAGTTTCAAATGTTCTAAATTCATAATAGGCTCTAGAATAGAGAGAGTCTAGAAGTTCATAGAGAAAAGAGTCTAGGGAAGAGAGAAATGCCCGTGGAAGAGAGAGCCCTACAAAGAAAGAAGTAGGATTAGGGGAGATAGAGTAGACTTATGGAGAGAGATATATATATATAACTCATAATGGAAGGTAATAAAGGCTCACCCATAGATCTACCCAAAATTGGTATACGAGGTCTCATTTTTAATAAATAACGCAAATACATATAAAAACGGGGTGTATTTATAAGCTTTAAATAAATAAATAAAAAATTTTGGCTTTCTAGGGGTGACCGCCCCCTCATTTCCCACAAAAGGAAAAGTTGTTACGCCACCTGTTTGGGTGGTCTCCAAGTTTCCCACTTGCAGGGAATTAAAGGGAATCCCATGTAAAATCATTTGAGCAGCTTTTACTTAAAGAAAAGGATAAAAGCTGCCCCTTCACGGTTACAAAACACCCCTTAAATCGTCCTCAAGTTCTTTCTATTGGACACCATTAATATCCTATGGGACCTCATCTTGCGACATGATGACCCACATCAAAATTTATAGGGTCATTATGACCATTGCAAAGATGCCAATAAATCGAATAGTAGAAAATCTATGATTAGTTCCCATAATGCCGTTACATACTCATCAAAACGTAATGATGTGTTAATCTTGTAACATACACCCATTAAAAACATGGGAGAAATTTATATAGAGCCAGACTCTAAACAATCAAATTAGAACCTATCTCAAAAATTTCACAAAAAGAAGTTGTTTTGATGCCCAAATATCCTCAAATTGATCATCTTGACATCAAGATACATGGATATGAGAAAAAAATGAATTTCAAGTATTAGTGTATTTGTAACACGTTTTTGGACCATCAATTTTCAAGATTTTCAAGTTTTCATAGATATGTCGATCTACGCTATTTTTGAAGCTTTAAGCTTTTATAAATAAAGATGAAAATATATTTTAAGGAAAAAGTTTATATAAGGATACAACCTTATAATGTAGAACTATGGATGCACATCAAAAATCCATAAGAAAAAGTAGTTTTAATGTTGAAAAACCCTTTGATTGATCATCTCGACATCGAGATGTATGACCATGAAAAATAAAAAGATTTTAAGTATCAGAACTAGTGCATTTTACAACATATTATCTACACCGTCCATTTTAAAGATTTTCATATGTTTATAGATCCACTTGATTTTAACAAATTTTGAAATTTAAAATTTTATAATTAGATATAAAAATAGATTTTGAGATAATCCTAATAACATTTTATCTCAAAATTAGATACCATGATAAAATTTGAAGGTGCACGTTACCTCTACACCTATATTTTAATGCTATCACAAAGATTTTCAGTATTGAAACTATATTTCTCCTCACCTTCATTTTTTTAGGACATAATTGCAGCCCAAAATGGATGGCAAGGGAAACTAAACACTTGTTTTTTGCGAATAAATCATCACAATATTTACAATACATATTTTTAGATCTATAGAACAACTATAATACTAGCTTTGCTTTGTGAGACGAAATGTTGGATATCCCTTCCCTATATCTCATCCTCTTTTCTGGTACTCTTTTATCAAAATATGTCATGTGACCTTCCTTTCCTCTCATGTCCAAATCCCTACTTGACCAAGTACCTGCTTCATCGTCCTCTTCAATCTCGCTTAGAGCATCCTCTCTCTCTTCTCCATCTCATCCTCTCCCGCTCTCACTCTCTCTCGAAAACCCACCCCTCAACTTTCCTTTTTTTTTTGCAGTTGTAATCCCTCATTCACTCAATGAAAGCTTACTCTTGACGTTCAGGAAAACAAAAAAAAAACCACCCCTTCACTTTTTCTCTGAGACCCATCCAATACTAGAGGCACAATATGTGTACTTAATGGATGATAAGAAAATGCTTCCATTTTCAACGGAGTGCAGGTTGGCTGTCTGTGAAATTGGGAAAGATTAGAGTTAGAAACTAGAATTGCTAAATCCCATCATGATCAGGAGTCCTATTAGATTAATAATTAAACATGGGATGAGGTTTGGGATTATAATAAGTCAACCAATTAGTTAGACGTCAATTAGGAAAATCCATTGAGATTTGGAGTGCATTGTAATTAGAACTAGGATTAAGCGTCTGCCCAGAGTCCTACTAAGAATAAGATAAGGTACACTATGAATAGGTGTGGTGGGTCATGACAGAGATATATGGGTAGGATGTGAGGTTAAGTGGATTTACTACATGGGCTAGAGAGTAGCTTGCTGGTACAATGGGGACGGCATGAGAGGTAGAAGAAGAAGAGAGCGAAAGGGTTGGGTGGAGAGAGAGAGAATCATGCCCGGGGTGGTTGAGCAACTACAGGAACCTCTAAGCATATCTTTTGGTGGGGGCGAATGATAGAGGGTCAGATGAGGAAGCGGTGGGTGTTCAGCAACTACTAAGTGTTGCCGGTGGTGGGTGAGGAAGGTTAGGTTGGAGGCGTTGCTCAAGAGCATGTTATTGGTGGTCTGGATAAGATCGATCCGAGGGAAGATGAAGAGAAAGATTATGCAGAGATGCTCTAGGATATAGCTGCATCCTTTGATGTCCCTATAGGCCAAGTTTTACAAGCTATGAACGAGAAATTTAAGGAAGAGAAGAATGGGATTCAAATCAGTAAGAAGGGTGATGATGATATCAAAGTAGAGGGTGATAAGAATAATGGTGGTAAAGCTGTGGTTACTGTAGAAAGTAAATCCTTGTGGTCTTCACTGAGGATAGCGGCAAAGAAAGCAAGTCGTGCTAATAAGGGGATATTTTTGATGGGGGACAGGTAGGGAGAAATTTGAATGTCGAACGTAGTGAAGACAATATGACTTTTTCTGAGGATGATCCTGTTTTAGATGGTGCTTTGTCTTCGTTTTTGTGATGAAAAGTTTTAGTTGGAATGTTCTGGGGACTTGGGGAGATGCACAGAAAGAGAAGTTTTGTTATTGGTGAAACATCACGAGACTAAAATTCTTATGTTGCAGGAAAGCAAACTCTACAAGCTTTCTGTTATTAGTGTTATAGAAGTGTGGAGGGGTGGGTATGTGGGTTTTGAAGAGGTTGATGTACTAGGGTCTTCTGGGGGTCTGTGGGTTTTGAAGAGGTTGATGCACTTGGGTCTTCTGGGGTCTGTGGGTTCCATGGGATTCCTCAGCTTTGGTTTATGTGAATGTGATTGTTAAAGATAGAGTAATAGCTCTTGTTTTTTATGGTCTTTGTCTGAGTTTTAAGTGGATTGTATTTAATGCTTATGGTCCTAATGTGAAGGCCTTAAAAGAAATTTTTTTATTGGAAACCTCTTCTTTGGCTTTTTTTTTTAATTTACCATGGTGTTTAGGGGCATCTGATATGATTCGGTGGCCTGATGAGATTACTTCAGAAATCCCAATTAATTCAAACATGAGGTGTTTTAACAATTTCTTTCTTCAAAATCAATTGGTTGATATTCTTATCAATGGTGCAAAATTTACCTGGTGTCAATAATTTCCGCAATAATTGGATTATGAGAAAAATTGATCGGTTCTTAATAACTAGTAGTTGGGAGAGTTATTATCCTTTGGTATGTGTGCATGCCTTAGCAAACTTGTCTTCTAATCATATTATGTTACTTTTGCAAACAGAAAATAATTTGAGTGGGCCAAGACCATTTCGGATGGAGAAAGTTTGGTTGAAAGAGAAGGAGGGGGTGGATTTGATTAAAAATACATAGAGTAATACAATTGTTTATGTATGGTTTGGATTTCGGATGTATAAAAAATTATTGAATATTAAGCATAGATTGTTGCAATGGAAAAACGATAATGACTTTTTGGTTAAATGTAAGTTAGATGAGATCTTATCTTGTCTTGATATAATTGAAGTGTCCATTCAAAACCGTGGAAATAGTTCTAATGAGGAGGAGGTTGAGAAGCGGGGATTATTGATTGAGTTGAATAAGAATCTCAATTAGAAGAAATATATTGGAAGCAATGGTATGGAGTGAAGTGGCTGAAAGAGGGAGATGCTAATATTCAACTTTTTTCATGCAATTGCAAATTCAAGAAAGCACCAGAATGACATTTCAGGTATTTTTTTGAAAAATGTCAAGGAATGTGACATTGTAGGTTGGGAAATAGAATTTGTTAAACATTTAAAAAAAATATTTACACGTAAGATGCCTTTGTAGGCCCGATACCAAGGGGTTCCTTTCAAATGTTTATCTAGTACCCTGACAAATGATTTGGAGAGGATGGTAAGGGAAGATGAAATGAAAGCAACTACTTTTGTTTTACCAAGTGATAAGGCAACTGAGTCAGACAGTTTTCCATTAGTCTTTTTCCAAAAATTTTGAGATACTATGAAGATGGATCTTCTATTGATGGAGGAGTTTTTTGTGAGGGGAGTGCAACATAAAGGAATTAATGCAACTTACATTGCTTTAATACCTAAACATACATCAATTTCGGGGATCTCGGATGTCCGTCCTATCAACCTTTTGACTAGTCTTTACAAAATAATTGTAAAAATCTTA